GGATCACGAGGTCAAAAGATCGAGACCATCCTAGGTCAACATGGTGAAATCCCATCTCTGCTAAAAATACAAAAAATTAGCTGGGCATGGTGGCACGTGCCTGTAATCCCAGCTATTCAGGAGGTTGAGGCAGGAGAATTGCCTGAACCCAGGAGGCGGAGGCTGCGGTGAGCCGAGATCGCGCCATTGCACTCCAGCCTGGGTAACAAGAGTGAAACTCTGTCTCAATAAATAAATAAATAAATAAATAAATAAATAATAAATACTGCTTTGAGACCCTGCTTTCAATTCTTTTGAATGCATACCCACACATGGAATAACTAGATCAATGGTAATCCTTTTTCAAATTTTTTGAGGAATTGTCCATGTTGTTTTCTAGAGAGACTGCAACATTTTACATTCACTACCCATCAACTACATTGCCTTTAACCCTTTATTTCATATCCAGGCCTCTAAAGTTATTCAGCATGGATTGAGTAATTTGTGATTTATTTATTGTGACTTCTGTGTTCCATCACTGTGGCTAAGTGCTAAGGACACCGTGATGAAGGTGTCTGCCCTCACGGAGCCTGCAGTGTGAGAAATAAGCAATCAACAGATATATGAGAAAATCTGTCATTATACATTCTAAATTATGCTATAAAAAGAAAGATGTGGTTTCTTAAAGACTGAGAGCACTGATGTCTGGGTGTGGTGGTTCATGCTTGTAATCCCAGCACTTAGGGAGGCCAAGGTGGGTGGACCACCTGAGGTCAGGGGTTCAAGACCAGCCTGACCAACATGGTGAAACCCCGTCTCTACTAAAAATACAAAGATTAAAGCCAGGCACAGTGGCTCATGCCTGTAATCCCAGCACTCTGGGAAGCCAAGGTGGATGGATTACCTGAGGCTGGGAGTTCGAGACCAGCCTGACTAACATGGAGAAACCCCATCTCTACTAAAAATACAAAATTAGCCAGGCATGGTGGCGCATGTCTGTAATCCCAGCTACTCGGAAGGCTGAGGCAGGAGAATCACTTGAACCCGGGAGGTGGAGGTTGCAGTGAGCTGAGATGGCACCATTGCATTCCAGCCTGGGCAACAAGAGCAAACTCCATTAAAAAAAAAAAAAAAAAAAAAAAGACTTAGAGCACTGATAAATGAGACCTAGTTTGGAAGATGGAAGGCTGGTTTAAGGAAGGGAACTTGGAGCAGAGATTACACGTTTCTTAGGAGTGGGCCAGGTGAAGAGAGGCAAACAGCAGAGCAGGGGAAAGGAAGAATCCTTGTAGAAATGAGCAATGGTGGGGTTTTCAGGGAAAGTTCTGCCTTCCACTGAGACCTGTGAAAAGTTACTGAATTCATAATTTGCCATGCATTCATTAGTACTCACTAGGTGCTGATAGGAGCTATGAGCTTCTGTTTTTCCATAAATAACACAGAAATAGGCAACAGGCTGGGTTCGGTGGCTCACGCCTGTGATCCCAGCACTTCGGGAGACTGAGGCGGGCAGATCACTTGAGGTCAGAGTTTGAGACCAGCCTGGCCAACATGGTGAAACTCCGTCTCTACTAAAAATACAAAAATTAGCCGGGTGTGGTGGCAGGTGCCTATAGTCCCAACTACTCAGGAGGCTGAGGCAGGAGAACTGCTTGAACCCAGGAGGCAGAGGTTGCAGTGAGCAGAGATTGTGGCACTGCACTTCAGCCTGGGCAACTGTGAGGTCCATCTCAGAAAAGAAAAAAGGATTTTAGGCCGGGCGCGGTGGCTCACGCCTGTAATCCCAGCACTTTGAGAGGCCGAGGCGGGTGGATCACGAGGTCAATAGATCGAGACCATCCTGGTCAACATGGTGAAACCCGTCTCTGCTAAAAACACAAAAAATTAGCTGGGCATGGTAGCGTGTGCCTGTAATCCCAGCTACTCAGGAGGCTGAGGCAGGAGAATTGCTTGAACCCAGGAGGCAGAGGTTGCGGTGAGCTGAGATTGCGCCATTGCACTCCAGCCTGGGTAACAAGAGCGAAACTCTGTCTCAAAAAAAATAAAATTTTTTTTAAATATTCCAGTATTAAACATTGAAACATTGAAAATGACTGGATTCAACATTGACAATGAATGGATTATATCAGCACAATCATCTAACAAAGGACGTTAACAGGAAAAAGTTTAATATCATCTATCATCCTTTGCTCTGAACATTTTCTTTTCAAGCTCAGGTCCCACCCAGGTTCTTTGGTTTAAGAAATAATTTTTTTTTTTTTTTTGAGATGGAGTCTCACTCTGTCGCCCAGTGGCTAGATCTTGGCTCACTGCAACCTCCGCCTTCTGGGTTCAAGTGATTCTCCTGCCTCAGGCTCCCGAGTAGGTGGGATTACAGATTCATGCCACCGCAACCCGTTCGTTTTTGTATTTTTAGTAGAGATGGAGATTTACCCTGTTGGCCAGGCTAGTCTCGAACTCCTGACTTCAAGGGATCCGCCTGTCTTGGCTTCCCACAGTGCTAGAATTATAGGCATGAGCCACTGTGCTCAGCCTGAAACAACTTTTGATTAGACCTTGCCTCCTGCTACACCCTCCATTCATCCCCTGCTTTGCTCTAGGACTTACTTTATTTTCTGCCAACTAGCTCCTGTCTGCAGCTCTTAAATTAGGGGTATATTCAAAACATGTACCATGCCCTGCTTTTCTTGATATGACGTTTGTGGAAGATTTCCATTTGAGGGAAACGTCTTGACTTCATCTGTTGGAATGATTTCTGAAGACCCAAGATTTTTCTAGGACACTTTAAATTTAACATATGTATACCGTGCTCCGATTTTTCTTCTTTAGCTATCTTGTCTATATTCAGCGATAGTTGGAAGACAGGTATTAGGATGTGATAGAATTTTGGAATCAGACTTAGAAACTGACCACCAGCTCAGCCACTTTCTAACTAAGTCACTTCATGTCTTTGAGTCTCACTTTCAAAATGGAGAAGACAATAGGGCCAACCTCCATGGGAAGACAAAACAAGGCAGAGTGAATTTATTTAATGCCGTCTGTGGCATGTACAAGGGGCTCAGTCAATTATTACTATCACTTGGAGAGTCAAGTGGCACAATTTTATCTTGTGCTAAAGCAGAAATGGCTAACGTTACAACTATCATCTCCTAAAAAATAAATATAAATAACTGTATAATAAATGAAGTTTTCCTTAACCCAGTAGTATTTTTTGAGCCGTAAATCGACTGCACATTCATTTAGATTTGTAAGTTAGATCTCCTGCCACACAACTTTATACAGAAAAGGTGTTGGGAATATCAGTAGATTAGTCAGCAAGGCAGGTGTTAATTGGCCTTTTTACTCAGTATCAGAATTCTAAGCTGCTTCGATGCATTATTAAACCAAATTCTTACCTTTCCCATCTGGCTGTGGGATATAATTCTGTCTTACTTGCTTTAGATGTTATACATAAAATAATGCAAGACTTTTTCAGAGATTCAAAAATTGGAGGTTAAACTTCCTTCAATAAGTTTTTACTGATGGCCACGAATATAAAAAAGATGATCAAGCTGATTTATTTTCTGCCTTGGGTTGTCCAAATGCCCAGGTGAACACATTGATGAGCCCAGCTTTCCATTTTGCTTGTATTCCTGATGAGTTTACAAGCTGGGAACGTGATGAATAACTAATCAAGAGAATGCAATGCACAAATGTGGAGGAAGGGTTTATATCTGCACAGTCCCTTACAATGAAGTAAATGCCCAACAAAGACGCATGCCCAGAGCAGTTATGGAAAGACCAATCAAAGATTTAGCAGGCTGACGATTTCATCATCTATTTAAACTTTATTGAGCATGTACATTGTGCAAAGCAGTTAGCCAAATTACATACACGTGGATTTATGGTAGAAATGTATATACATGTAGTATGTCATATACACACACAGAAGCCTGACTTCAGAAGATTCCAGGCATCATGTGTCAGAATGATACAATCACTTTGAACTATATACTTTTTCTGTAATAACGTCTGTATTGCAAAAAAAAAAAAAAAAAATTCCAATAGTGATTAGTAACACCCATATACTGTGACAGCCCCATTGCTATTCCATAGGAGATGCAAGAGCATTATCGAAGTAATAAAATATGTTATCAGACATTTATGGCTTCTGGGGGAAAATGCAATTGCTTGCTGTTTTGATATTATCTCTCACTATGTTTGCTTGTAACTTGCCATTTCTGTATTTAGTAGCCAGTCATTTTGAAGTTTAAAAAAAAAAATCAAGGTTTGCATTGTGGCAACAAACCAGTCCTTGTGAAAAGAGGGGCTATTAATCAGCTTTTAAAGGAGGTAAGTCATGGTGGTGGTAGTGGGGTAATCTGAAATTCTGGAAGTTCCAAGCTCACTTTAAGAGTTGAGATGCGCAGGAGGGCTGAAAACACCACCATTCATCCTCCTTCAGTTACCTCAGACTCAACTTAAACATTTTTAACAAAAAACATGGGAGGGGTCACATCTCAGGTTTGGGGGAGTGTGTGTGTGCGCGCGTAGTTGTGCAAACTGAGCCAAAATATTCCACGGTGAAGAGACCTCCCTTCTCGGCTGGTGGACATCAACCTTACAAAGTAATCTGTGGAGCACACTACCAAATACGCCCGTTCCGAAACTTTTACGTACACCGCTATTTTTTAATAAGTACGCATTTCCCCCCATTTTCTTTTCCTCTCCAAGGACTCAGATAGCTGGAGCGAGGATGGGTCCCCCTCTGATTCCGTTCTCGCCCCAGCCAATCTGAGCCGGGATGCTAATTAGCTGCGCTCCCCTGATGAACACGCCTTTGTCACAAGTAGGCCCGGACTACAAAGCCCAGAATGCCTCGCCCCTCCCTGATCAATGAGGGCTTATTTAAATGATCTCTGAGGTCTTGGACCCAGGCCAATCAGCTGTCAGGGCTCATGATAAATCGCAATGCATTATTGATAATAATAATTACTGGGACATGCGCGTTCCGGCCGAAGGGGGGTAAATTTCCCAACTCCAGGAATTTGTGGCGGAGAGAGCAAATAAGTGCGGCTCTCCCCGGCGTCCCGATGCTCGCACCATGTCGAGGCGCAAGCAGGCGAAACCTCAGCACATCAACTCCGAGGAGGACCAGGGCGAGCAGCAGCCGCTGCAGGCGACCCCGGAGTTTGCAGATGCGGCCCCAGTGGCGACCGCGCCGGGGGAGCCGGGTGAGTGGGGCTGGGGCGCCCGCCCGGGGAGGGTAGCTTCCCGGACGTCCGCGGGATCCTCGAGGGCTCGGGCTTCGGGGCGCTCCGCGCAAATTCAGGAACCGAGATTTAGGGGCCCAGTGCCCGGGAGGAGCGGCAGCCTCCTGTTCCCACCACCCCGCCGGGTGCACATTTCACACTTTTTCCCTTTTCTCCCCTCTGGTGTAAGTTTCACCCCCAGCCGCCCCCGCTTATTGTAAAATTGACCCCCACTCACTCCGCCGCGCTCCTGGTTCCCGAAAGGTTCCCTTTCTCCTTGTCCTCTGCCCCTCACTTAATTGGTTCCACTCCCCTCACTGGTGTTCCCCCCCCCTTGTAATTTAGGTCCCCCTCCCTCGCGTCGCTTTCAAAAGAAAGAACCCCGGGGGGATCCCCACCCTCTCCACCGGCCCTTGGGGGCATTTCTAGGAGGCCGGAGGAGGGGCGCACCCCTGGAAGACCCCCCGGAGGAGGACGATCTGTTGCACGCGCCCCTCCCGGGCCGAGTGGGGGGAGGGGGCGCGACCTCTCCCCACCCTCAGGAGCTGGGGTGCGGGCCACCCGCGCTGCGCCGGGGATTGGAGAGCCCAGAGGGGTGGGGGAGGAGGGCTCAATGTTTCCCTTTAAAATTTTTTTCCTTTTTTTTGGTTTTCGCCTTTTCTGCCCGGGCTGCGCCGCCTGCCGATCTTCGCCCTAACCTTTCGGGGCCTGACCTCCAGCCATCTTTGATTTCCGACTTCCTAAAAATAACCGCGGCAAGCCCGAGGGTGCGAGCCCCCAGTGGCCGGGGTGGCGGGCGCGCGGCAGTCCCGCTGGGGTGCACCGGCTTCCCGTCTGGCGTGGCTTTTCTGGAGCGCCCGGCTTTCCAGATTCGCGCCCGGTTGTAAAAGGGGAGAGAGGTGGGGGGCCGGGGCGAGCTTCCGCGGCTGACCCGGCCCGCGCTTCCGCGGCCGGCGTTTCCCGGATCGAGGGGAGTTCGGGACCCCAGCCGCGCCCGGAGCCGCGGGGCCGACTCTGTTCCCACTTCATCACTTCACCGCGGAGGTTTTGGGAGCGAAGCGGTTTCCCACTATCTCCTCTCCATCCTGGCCCGCCAAATTGTCGCCTGATAAGTTTTTAGCGTACGCGTTGGGGGAGGGGGACTCGTAGCCTCCTCTCCCGCCTTGTTCGTCGCTCCGCTCCCCGCCTGCTTTCTAATTTCCCCGCAGCAGGCGGGTGTGCGCGGCCACCCCGGGGGACTCTCAGCGTCCATCTCCGGTGCCCCGAGTTTCCCGAGAAGACGGTCGCTACTTTTTGGCTTCCGTACCCTCCCCTTGTTGTCGGGAGACCGAATGTGTAATACATTTCCCAAGTTTATAAGTAGGTCGATGTAATCCCCCGTGGAACATTTTTCCGGGGCAAATTAAAAGGATCGGCTGGACGGAGGGGACGGCTGGGCGTTTTCGGGGCGCCGGGTGGTCAGCGCAGCGCGCACCCGAGGTCCCCCGCGCCTGTAGGGACTCTCTTTGTGCCTGGGTTGGGGGCGGGGTGGGGGGTGGGGGTTGAGGGGAGCGTGAAGGCTTCGTGGCGTGGCCTGGCCCACCTGGAACAAAAGGGTTAACCCTCAGCCCTCCCGCTTCCTCTGGAGAGGAGGGGCGAGCTCCTGGCCCTGACCCCTCCCCTGGTCCTACTCTGACCTCCCCTTCCCCCTTCATTTTGGGTGGGCGCACACACGTGGGGCCTTTGGTGGTGTTGGGCACCTTTCGGGAGGGAAGCTTGTTACGGGAGAGCTTTTGAAATTAACGCTGGTTGGAGTTTGGAATCAGAGTCAACCTGAGCTGAGCTGAGACCTCAGGCCTGGCCGTGCGCTGCCACCGCGATTTGGGAGGGGAGTTGGCTATTGATCACCGGGGTTGTTGCGGACAGCCCACCCGGCTTGCGCGCGGGCGCCCCCTGGAGGCCCAGCTTGAAGCCTAGCCCTTTGCTGGGAGGCGGGTCCCTTCGCAGGTACCGGCTCACACCTGGTGGGTGGGACGGTTGGGGGGGCTAATGGAGAGTACTGGGCCAAGGATGGGTACCCCAGGGGATTCGTGCCGCTCGCCGGCGCGATAGCGGTCTCTGCCCGCTGGTCTTTGCCAAGTCTGGAACTCTGGGTCATAACTCCTGGCTGCTAGAATGTGTTTGCAGAGCCTCCGATTGCCTCCTTGGGACGGAAGGTGGTTTTCCCAAGCAGTGCGTTTTTAACAGCTGCGTTTGGGTTGTTTGCCTTTGATCTGCCTAAAATTACATATATGTTGCATATCTAATTTAGATGTACGTATATGTTTCACATAATACTTTAAAATGCAGATTGAGCTGGTCTTATTTTGCAAAGCCATTTGAGAATGCAGTTTTTGAGGGAGGAAAATGACGTCTGGCGATCAATTAGCAGATCAAAAAATCTGCAGGTGGTCGCTGGGCTAACACTACTTACAGGAAAAATTAGCATTTTCTCAAAAGGGTTTCAAATGCCCTTTGTGCTAAACTGGATTACAATCATCAACGATTAGGATTCCCAAGTTTCCAATAACTTCCTAATTCCAGTTACTCACCAAAATGACCCGCACTGGCTAGAAAGATTTTGACATTAGTTAACATTTCAGGCTAACTTTCTAGTTAGACTTCATCTGGGTTTCCCACAGGGAGAGAAGCTGCAATTTGCCAAACAGCTTTTTTTTTTGTTCAATAAACACGTGCAGTGCGCAAGCAAATGATACTTTGTCATTCAAGCTGTTGCTAGTGAGCTTCCTCCTGGGCTGTGGGTTGGGGAACCATCTTGGGAGGGAGTCGATAGTTAGCATTTCCTTTTTCAAAATGTGAAGTATTAGGTTGATGCCTGGGAAGTCAGGTTTTAGAGTGAGATCCACATTCCAGTCTGGCTGTGACTTTCAGCTGAAGCCAGCTTGGTGGTTTTTTTTTTTTCCCCTGAGTTTTTGGGTTCTCCTCTATATAGTGGTGATAAAATGCCCTGTTTAGATAATTTCAGCTATAGAAGGCCTGCTATAAATGGAGAATGTGATCAGTGTTAATTCTGTTCAAAATACCAAAATATTTTTATTTGTATTTCTCCATTGTGTCAAGATGGTGTTGAGCTCCCAGTTGAGGCAGTTTAGCAGACACAGCAGTGCGCTCCCTGCCAGATGCCAAGCTTGGGGACTAGTGTGCTGTCTTTAATTCCATATATTAAAGGCCAAAATTGATAGTCATATTTTTACTCGTTTTAGCATAAATTGCAGCACCTGTTTAAAAATGGCTTTGCCCATGGTGTCTTGTCCTGCTTGATTTTAGCCTCAGCCCCAGAGTTCAAGGAGGTGTGTGTGTAGTTGGTGGTGTGATGAGATTTGCTTTTTGGCATCTTTGACAAGGCAGCTGTGATTGGTGCTTGGCTGGTTGGATTTGGTGGCTTCCCCTCTGCCATCTTAAATGTTGGGATATGCCTTCACACAGTTTGATAAAGCAGCCCCAGAAGCAAAACAACGTCGGAGTTTGGTTGGCTTCTCTGGGTTGTACTACCTTGGAAAAACTGATGGCAAAGAGTCCCAGTTCTCTTCCTCATCACCTTTAACCTGGAGTACTTTTGACTATTTTTTTAAATGTCTAAACTTTTTTTTTTTTTTTTTGAAACGGAGTCTCGCTCTGTCACCCAGGCTGGAGTGCAGTGGCATGATCTTGGCTCACTGCAACCTTTGTCTCCTGGGTTCAAGCGATTCTCTTGCCTCAGCCTCCCGAGTAGCTGGGACTACAGGTACGTGCCACCATGCCTGGCTAATTTTTTGTATTTTTAGTAGAATTGGGGTTTCACCGTGTTAGCCAGAATGGTCTCGATCTCCTGACCTTGTGATCCGCTCTCCTCAGCCTTCCAAAGTGCTGGGATCACAGGCGTGAGCCACCGCGCCTGGCCAAAATGTCTAAACATTTTTAAAAGCCACTAAATCCAGACAAGCACTGCATTGCTAGGCACCACAATCCTTTCCCTCTGCCCCTCGGGGCCCACCAAAACGAACTGTAAGTCTGTGTTAGGTTTTGTTCAAGGGGGCGCTGGAGAAAGGCAACAAAAGCGCCCCTGCCCTCATGGAGTTTACAAACTTGCATGATCTCTAGTTGGGGTGGAGTGGGACACATCTCTAACCTTGGAAGCTGAGAGAGGTCACATGCCTTAGCGCCTCTGAAGCTTTCTTTGAGCCATTTACTCTTTTTCCTCTCCAGCAGAATCCATGAATTTTGTTTCAAGGCTGTTTGAAACTGCCTTTTTTAGATCTTAGTTGGGTAGAAACTTAAAGTCTAATTTGCCATCTATGAATTGAGTTGAAGGCTTTCTTTGACTGCTAAAATTAAACAGCTTAAATAAGAGGCACTTTTCTTTGAACTGGTTAAATACTCAAGGCACAGAATTTCCTTTTGTTTTTTTGGTAAGCAATTATCCCGGGGGTGGGGGAGGGTAGAAGATGTTGTGTGCTTCAGATAATCTACTCATTGTAGCTCTTTAAATGTAGGAATGAAAACCAGATAAGCTTGAGTCTTATAGTGCTTTTATCAAGATATACAGGTTTTACTTTTTAAGCATTTCAGTGTCTCCAGAATTTGATTGGCCACTAGTAGATGAAATTTCTTCCTATACAATAGTAAGAGTATTTTCTATCCATTTGGCAGTGATTGAATCTAAGACCCCTGCTGGGTTTACTGCATTCTTCCAACTTATTGGATAACTAGATGCTGAGAGATAACATTCCTAAAATTCGGGCTGGGGGCTGGGTGGAGGGATGGAAGAACTAGTTGCTTCGTAATCCCTCTGAACTTTGTTTTTGTTTGTTTTTTTTCCTTTTGGGTGAACTTAAGCATACCCGGCAATTGTTCATAGCAGAATCTTCTTACTCCCTGGCAAATACAGTTTCACTGTTTACCAGTGGCGGTCTGGATGTACAAGTACTTTTTAACCGCGCAGGCAAACAGAGCTGCTGCCGTTT